CACTCTTTTTCTCTCATTCTCTGTCTCGCTCCCCCTCTCTGCGGCTGCTTTATTTTATTCTGTGTCCCAACTGCAGTCCTGAGACATCATCCCCCCCCCCTCTCCAGAGCGTCTCAACGAACACCCCCCCCCCTCCCCGCCCCAATTTGATCAAGACCGCTATCGCCACTATAGCACGTGGAGGTGGGTGGTGAGGGGGCCGAAGGGGGGAGGGGGGCTTAACGCACACTTTGGGAAACATCCCTTTAAAGGATACCCGGCTAGTCGTTTTTCTACAATGGGGCCCCAAAATCCAAACGGGAAAATTTAACATTCAACAGAGAACTAAATCCGCCCAAATTTTCGGCAACAAGTGTCAGGGCAATCTTCAGTCATATTGCCCAAACACGGGTCATGGAGCCAGAAGTCGCTATGATGACTGATGACCGTTCAGAGTCAAAGGTCAGGCTGGCGCAAAAGCTCGGACTTCACGGAAACTGTATTCTGACCACGGCTGCCAATGCTGGGTTTTGTCCCCAAGATCCTGGTTTTTTAGTTGCTTTCTTGGTTTTTATTTTGAAAATTATTGAAAATCTTGGGTTTTCAGTCTTAATGATGACAAATACTACAATAAATAAATATTTTAACAAAAATAATATGTGTACACATATCTATAATAGTTTTACCTGCAAATTATATTTTGGAATGTCCTACAACACTTAAAATAAACTCGGTGTAATTAATGTAACAGAATACAAAGGTTAACTCCAGGGCAATCCAGGGAACAGCAGACCACCAAAGGACCAGATTTACGATCCCCAAGTAGCGGCCCTAAAGTAACAGATACTAGGGGCGGAGATGCAAAATAGATGAAGCCTGGGACTTTTGATCGTAAACTTTACAGAAGAAAGAAGGGACCTGACATTTAATTATTGAAGAAAGTTTGGGAGGCTTTTCCTCTCTTCTAGGGGTTACTGACCTGACATTGCAGCGTCTCATTGGTTTAAGTGAAAGAAAGCAGATTAGCAGAAACCAACTAAGGACTACTAGGGAGGGACCTTCAGTTCAGTTTTCACTTGGTTTTTTGCTGTGTTGTGGTTTGTTAAACTGTGCTATCAAAATTTACTCTGATTATAAGCTTGTTGAATTCAAAATGAGTGAACAGATTACACCATCGAAGAATATCGCTAATATTAACCAACTCCTAAGCGTCTGCAAAGCTGCATTTCCCGACAGCAAAATTGCTGACAAGTTATCCATAAAAAAGAAAGAAACTGTCTGACGTCATTCAAGATGGAATAGCTTTTCATGAACAGCAGGCAGTGACTGAGATCTGTCAGAAACAAAAGTTGTCTATAATAATTGATGAAAACACAGACATCTCAGTCACTCAGATCTTAGCAGTGGTAGTTCGACATCTCAGTCACTCAGATCTTAGCAGTGGTAGTTCGACATCTCAGTCACTCAGATCTTAGCAGTGGTAGTTCGACATCTCAGTCACTCAGATCTGAGCAGTGGTAGTTCGACATCTCAGTCACTCAGATCTTAGCAGTGGTAGTTCGACATCTCAGTCACTCAGATCTTAGCAGTGGTAGTTCGACATCTCAGTCACTCAGATCTTAGCAGTGGTAGTTCGACATCTCAGTCACTCAGATCTTAGCAGTGGTAGTTCGACATCTCAGTCACTCAGATCTTAGCAGTGGTAGTTCGACATCTCAGTCACTCAGATCTTAGCAGTGGTAGTTGGACATCTCAGTCACTCAGATCTTAGCAGTGGTAGTTCGACATCTCAGTCACTCAGATCTTAGCAGTGGTAGTTCGACATCCCAGTCACTCAGATCTTAGCAGTGGTAGTTGGACATCTCAGTCACTCAGATCTTAGCAGTGGTAGTTCGACATCTCAGTCACTCAGATCTTAGCAGTGGTAGTTCGACATCCCAGTCACTCAGATCTTAGCAGTGGTAGTTGGACATCTCAGTCACTCAGATCTTAGCAGTGGTAGTTCGACATCTCAGTCACTCAGATCTTAGCAGTGGTAGTTCGACATCTCAGTCACTCAGATCTTAGCAGTGGTAGTTCGACATCTCAGTCACTCAGATCTGAGCAGTGGTAGTTCGACATCTCAGTCACTCAGATCTTAGCAGTGGTAGTTCGACATCTCAGTCACTCAGATCTTAGCAGTGGTAGTTGGACATCTCAGTCACTCAGATCTTAGCAGTGGTAGTTGGACATCTCAGTCACTCAGATCTTAGCAGTGGTAGTTCGACATCTCAGTCACTCAGATCTTAGCAGTGGTAGTTCGACATCTCAGTCACTCAGATCTTTAGCAGTGGTAGTTGGACATCTCAGTCACTCAGATCTTAGCAGTGGTAGTTCGACATCTCAGTCACTCAGATCTTAGCAGTGGTAGTTCGACATCTCAGTCACTCAGATCTTAGCAGTGGTAATTCGACAGTCACTCAGTCACTCAGATCTTAGCAGTGGTAGTTCGACATCTCAGTCACTCAGATCTTAGCAGTGGTAGTTCGACATCTCAGTCACTCAGATCTTAGCAGTGGTAGTTCGACATCTCAGTCACTCAGATCTTAGCAGTGGTAGTTCGACATCTCAGTCACTCAGATCTTAGCAGTGGTAGTTCGACATCTCAGTCACTCAGATCTTAGCAGTGGTAGTTCGACATCTCAGTCACTCAGATCTTAGCAGTGGTAGTTGGACATCTCAGTCACTCAGATCTTAGCAGTGGTAGTTCGACATCTCAGTCACTCAGATCTTAGCAGTGGTAGTTGGACATCTCAGTCACTCAGATCTTAGCAGTGGTAGTTGGACATCTCAGTCACTCAGATCTGAGCAGTGGTAGTTCGACATCTCAGTCACTCAGATCTTAGCAGTGGTAGTTCGACATCTCAGTCACTCAGATCTTAGCAGTGGTAGTTCGACATCTCAGTCACTCAGATCTGAGCAGTGGTAGTTCGACATCTCAGTCACTCAGATCTGAGCAGTGGTAGTTCGACATCTCAGTCACTCAGATCTTAGCAGTGGTAGTTTCGACATCTCAGTCCACTCAGATCTTAGCAGTGGTAGTTCGACATCTCAGTCACTCAGATCTTAGCAGTGGTAGTTCGACATCTCAGTCACTCAGATCTGAGCAGTGGTAGTTCGACATCTCAGTCACTCAGATCTTAGCAGTGGTAGTTCGACATCTCAGTCACTCAGATCTGAGCAGTGGTAGTTCGACATCTCAGTCACTCAGATCTTAGCAGTGGTAGTTCGACATCTCAGTCACTCAGATCTTAGCAGTGGTAGTTCCATATTTTGATTTCAACAAACAAGATGTTGTTGACGCTCTTTTGGATAGTGTTGTTGTTGAAGATGGGACCGCTGTTGGCTTGTATGATGCCGTCAAGTCATTTCTGAATGAGAACAATATTCCTATTGGAAATATAATAGGATTCGGAAGTGATAATTGCTCCTCTATGATGGGAAAGAAAAGGGGCTTTCAAAAATTGCTATGAAATGATATTCCCTCGATTTTCATTATGGGATGCGTGTGTCATTCTTTTGCTTTGTGTGCCAGCCATGTTGTCAATATTTTACCTTCATATTTAGAAGCGTTCTTGAAAAATGTTACTGCATATTTTTCACGCAGCAGCAAAAGACAGCGTGACTTCACCCTTATTCAAGAAGCAGCGAATGCTCCACTCCATAAAATCCCTAAACTATCACAGACAAGCTGGCTATCCAGGGAGAATGTAATTTCAGCTATTCTGAACCAATATCCTGCCTTACTGTTATATTTTCAAAGTGAGTCAAGAACGGACAAAATTGACGGAGCAAACGAGATCTTCGGAACCTTGAGTGATGGCGATACAAAACCCATTTTACTGTTCCTTCAGTATCTACTACAAAAAGTGAATATGCTAAACATAGAATTTCAGTCTGAGCAATTTAGGCTGCATCTTTTGTATTCAATGGTCACATCTGAATACAAAAATATATTAGGTTGTTTCATTAAAGATGAAGTTTTACATACAGCTAAATTGGAAGAAATTGATCCAAACATTTTAAGCAACCATAAGAATCTAAAGGACATATACTTAGGAGGAAAAACATCGGCGCATTTCATAAAAGAACCTTTTGATGAATACAAGGAAAAAAAGATTTTAAAAATGACTGTTTGAAATTCCTCGTTGAACTTTGTAATCAGTTCAAGAAAAGATTTCCCCTCAGTGAGAACAGCTTGATTGCAAAGTTTAATGTACTAGATCCCAAAATATCGTGTAATCAAATGATCTCTCCGTTATCCATTATTCCACTTGCAGTTCATTTTCCTTCACTCATATCTGAACAAAGTTTCAATGATTGAGATGATCAGTGGAGAAGCTATCATGTGAATGCTGCAAGTTTACCAATTGCTTCAGAGAACATTCCGCAGTATTGGTACCAATTGAGAAGCATAAAAGATGGCTTGAAAAATGTAAAATATGACATTTTATCCGCTTTTATGACCAACCTAACTATTTTGCCTCACTCGTCAGCAGCGGTTGAGCGAATGTTTTCCCTGATGATCTATATCAAAACTAAACAAACCAATTCGCTGAAAGCAGACACCGTAAAATTCTTGCAAGGCAAGCAATCACAAGAGAAAATAGCGACTGCACGACATGGACACCTAATAAAGAATTGCTAAAAGAATTGCAAAGTGGCGCAGTTAGTCAAAGATATTTAAACAGAATGAAAAAAACAGAAAAAGACGGTGACAACTGAAATTGGCGAAGAAGGAGGGCTGTTGGAGTAACAATTTAATAAAGGTGAGTATATGTTCAGTTTCATAACTATAAAATACTTTTTGTACAGTGCTGGGTTTTTAATTTTATTTTTTGTTCATATCTTGGGTTTTCGTCAGCCACATCTGGGTTTTTGACAAAAATCTTATTGGCAGCCCTGATTCAGACGGCGGTCAGCTCAGCAGAGCAGACGTGAAGTAAGGTCCCCAGTTTCCCCCCGCCGTCTTTGATATCGGGATGGATTTGTGTAATGAATTTGTAGGGGGAATAGACGTGAGTTTTTATTAAAATTGCTTCTTGTCTACTTCATTCATTCAGTAGCATGTCCCTCGCGTAACCTCGCTGCCATAACAACCCTCCGGAAAACCTTCCTATCATGAGCAAGATGTCCTGCGTCTGATACACCCATGTGGAGATCATCTGCCACATCCTGCACCCATCTTCTCCTTGGCCTTCCTCTTCCTCTCTTCCCAGGCATATACCCCTCCATTATTGTTCTCTCTAGACCTCCAAGACGTTTCAAGTGACCAAAATATTTCAATTTTCTTTGTTTTATTGTCTTTACTAGCCAACCCTCTTCAATATTCAGCTCTTGAAGTATGGATGCATTTGTTCTTTTCTTTACCCAAGATATTCTTAGAACCTGTCTGTAACATTTATATTCAAATGCATTTATGCGCTGTTCCGCTTGTTTTAGTAAGTGTCCAGGTCTCACAGGCGTATGTTGCAATGGGAAAGATGCATGCTCTTAAAAATCTGACCTTTGTAATTCTATCTGTACAATTCCATAATTATTCAGTTGTTTTAGTCTTTGAAGAGCAATTGATAGTCGCCGTTTAATTTCTTTCATGTGTGGTCACCATTGTTGGTAACCAGTGACCCAAGATATTCGAAATTTTCCACCACTTCCAATCTTTCCTCATTAACATATATTTCCTTCTCCATGGCAGTTTTGTTTGTATGGCCATATCTTTGTTTTTGCTATGTTAAGAAATAAGTTATGATTTTCACTATTTCTTTGGAGTGAGGTTAATAAGTTTTCTAAAACCATTTTGTGATGTTGATAGTAATACTGTATCATCAGCATAACGAATTTCTGGTATTTCATGACCACCGATATTTAGGGCATCATATTGTTCCTTGTTTATATCATCTCTTACATTTCTCATTATATTTTCGGCGTACAGGTTGAACAAATACGGTGACAGCACACATCCCTGACGGACTCCTTGCTTGATGCCAAACCAGTCTGATGTCTCTCCATCTATTCTGACTGCTGCTTGTTGGTCTTGATAGAGCATTTTAATAAGCTGCACTATATGTGATGGAAAGCCCATATTCCTCATGATTTCCCAAAGCTTCTGATGTTGTACACAGTCAAATGCTTTTGAATAATCCTCAAAACATAAGAACAGATTTTCATTAAATTCTCTACACTTCTCTATTATTAAACGCATGTTGAATATATGATCTCTTGTTCCTCTTCCCTGTCTAAATCCAGCCTGAGCTACATTAATCTCTTCTTCCATTTTCTTATGCAGTCTTCTCATTATAATTTTTAGTAGAATTTTACTTGCATGACTGATCCCCTAAAGTCAAAGGACAGCCCTATTTTAGGGGTGTTTAAAATAAAAATTAGCAGAGATTTTAGGCAGTGTTAAGATGGGATGGGGGATCCCGGTACATTACATACAAGGCGCAGAGTGTTTAGTTTTGTGTTTTGTCATCATCATTATCATCGTCAGCCACTTCTGTCGTTTAGTGGCGTGGGGAGGAATAATTTGCGATCCAGTGCACGTTGGCTGCCAGTGGCTATTGTCATGCCATGAAGGCGTAGAGTGTCTTTAATGTTGTCGATCAATATTTTCGCGGCCGTCCTCTTGCTCTTGTAGCTGCTCTTCTGAGATGTAGTGCTTGTGATGGTATTTGATCTTGCTGCATTCTAATGAGATGGCCAAACTATTTGATCTGCTGTTTCTCGTTGAATCTTGTAGAAGGTGTCGTTCCCACATTTTGCCTGTTAGTGTCATTATTTACTTGATCTCGGATGGTTAGGTTGGTAGCTTTTCTCAGGCATTTCATTTGGCAAGTGGTGATTTTCCGTACATGAGCTTTAGATAGTGTCCATGTATGGCACTGGTAGCTTAATGTTCGAATGAATATGCATTTTATAATCTGTCTCTTTGCACTCTTATGCTTGGACGTCTTAATAATGGTGACAATCGGTAAATAAGTGCTCTTGGTTTCTAGCATCTGGTTTCTATTTTTAAAGGGTGAAAGCGGCACACTTAGGTTGCACGTTCTTTGATCAGAAAATCCCTTCTACAGTCAAGACCGTTGTGCGTGACCGAAGAGGCACAAAACAGAACGGATCTAAAGGAGACAATCTCGACTGATTACTTTGTATAACAAGCATCCATACTGTATTTCATAGTTGACAATAAAATCTTATCACCAGAGCCTTGTTTTTACTCGATTCTATATTTAGGCACACATAGATCTATCCATCTTTCTACAATTCTATTCATCCAATAAGATAGCCATCCTTTATCCCATCCATTCATCTACTCACCCATCTATTCCACCATCCACTTCTGTTATTTTTCCATCGCTCCCTTGCATTCTGCTTTTTACCAGATTTGTGCTCGGTTCGATTGATACTTTGTTTAACAATCACCCTTACTGTCTCTTTTTCATAGCTGACAGTAAGATAGAAGCATCGTGTCATGAGACCCTTGTTTTTACCTTATTTCAAATATTGGCACACACAGAGGCCGAACCATCTACGAGTATAGCCATCCATCATTCCATCTTTTTGTCTCCCCGCTCATCTTTACTACCACCCACTTATCTATTCAACCCATCATCTATCTATCTATCTTTCTGTTCATCGATAATGTGTGTGTGTGTGAGTGTGCGTCTGCATGTGTGTGTCTGTGCGAGTATTTGTGCATCTGCGGGTGTGTTAGTATGTGTTTGTGTATGTCTCTGTGTGTCAGTGTGTGTGTGTGTGCCATTATGTGTCTGTAGGTGTGTATGGCTGCATGTGTATCTGTGTGAGTCTCTATCGGTGTGTCTATTATATAATGTCTGCGTGTCTTTGCTTGTGTCGGGTTATGCGTCTGTTTGTAAATATGTGTGCGTATGTGTGACTGTGGGTGTCTGTGTGTGTATGTGTGGGTGTTGCGTATGTCTTTGTGTGTTTCTGTTTCCCTGCCTGCGTGTGTGTATGTTTTTGTATGTGTGCCCGTGACTGCATGTGTGTGTGTGTCTGTATGTGTCTGGGTTGTAAGCGTGTGTGTTTTAGAGCGTATGTATGTATGTATGTATGTATGTATGTATGTATGTATGTATGTATGTATGTATGTATGTATGTATGTATGTATGTATGTATGTATGTATGAGTGTGTATGTATGTATGTATGTATGTATGTATGTATGTATGTATGTATGTATGTATGTATGTATGTATGTACGGATGTATGTGTGTACTGGGTGCCTATGTGTTTGTGTGTGAGTGATTAGGCTTGTGTGTGTTCGAGCGTGAGCGTGCGTACATATTTTACCACCCATTCTTTTGCTTTTAACTTCATATCCAGAATATGCATATTATTACATGAAAATAACATGCTTCATTGATGAATTACAACTGCTGTGTGAAAGATGGAAGTTTGGAAGGGCCGAATGTAAGACAGGACTGCGTGCCTAATTTGTAACCCTTTGAAAAAAAGTTCGTTCCATCCATCTTTTTGTCTGTCCGTCCGTCCGTCCAGCCAGCCGTCTATCTATCTATCTATCTATCTATCTATCTATCTATCTATCTATCTATCTATCTATCTATCTATCTATCTATCTATCTATCTATCTGTCTGTCTGTCTGTCTGTCTGTCTGTCTGTCTGTCTGTCTGTCTGTCTGTCTGTCTGTCTGTCTGTCTGTCTGTCTGTTAAATTCTGTGTTAAAATAAAATAGCATTTGTGAATACAGAATATGATTGTGGTGAGGCCCCAAACTGCAGTTTAGTTAGCTGGTGCCTAAATACAGCACTGAGATTTCGTTACCATTCTATCAGTGGACTTCAATCAATCAGGTGCCGTCTGCACAGTGTAGGTTAGCTACAATAGATCTCTAACACGTTGTCTCTTGTCCTGGTTGTAGACTCTCAGACTGCTGCCCATCCTTCTCGTGATTTATACTCCCACTTGTATCACTGCCGACCTCTTCTTGTCTTGCCTTCAACCTCCACCCCCCCCTCCAGTAAAGTTTTTAAAAGCGTGTTATGTTATGTTATTTAATGTGGCTATTGTATTTCAGTTGTTTCTTTTATTTGTTTCAATAATTCTTTTTTCATTTGTAGTCTTTCCAGAACCTCTTGGACTGTTTTTTTGAAGTATATAATTTCCAATAAATATACACATTTTGTTTCACTCCAGGTCCAGCTGCCGGATGTAGCTGCCTCCTGTTCCATCAACCATGTACCACCTATGGAAAACAGAGCAGTGGTAAGTGTCTTCAACTGCAGACACACTGTAGCCACTGTCAGGCGTATATCTTAAACATGCTCTTCTGCCTTTCTAACCCCCGGTGGAGCATAGGCCCTCAGCCAAGTAATTCTATCTAACTCCCTTCTCCTTGTGTTGTGTGTGTGTGTTTTTTTTTTTTTGGGGTGGTCTTTCTTTATTTTAATGCCTCTGTGGGTTCCAGTGCAAAGATATTCTAGTTATTCTGTTTTCAGATTTTCTCAACAAGTGTCCTATCCAACACCAGCACCTTTTCTTCACCTCTTGGTCTACTGGAGTTTGTTTTGTTCTCTCTTCATTAGTGATTCTATCGTATCCCACTTAATTCCCTCTATTCTGTGCAGGCAGCAGTTAATGAATGTTTATAGTTTATTTGTAATTGCCTTAGTTGTTCTCCATGTGTCGGCTCCGTACAATAGTTACTGATCTGACATTAGCATAAACAGGAAACATTTTCTTATGAATATCCTTTGCTGGTGGACCTTTCGCCCCCACCCCGAGCCACCCAACAAAAAAAACCGCACAACAGCGGTACATGGAGGGTACATTCCATAAGCACAGTCACTATTTTGTTTCTGTGTTGTGCATGCAACACCCAGCATCAGCTAATGAATGTAGACATAAAGTTCCATGTCGCAGTCACCTCATGACCCTTTAGAAACCACCTGATAGATTTTCCGGCCATCCTATTACCAACTGTGACTTACTTAGTGACTTCCCCTCTTTTGACCTCCACAAATTCCCCAGTGCCATGAAAGCTCCTCATATTTTATCTCTGTCAGTTCCCCCATCTTTATCTACATTACTGCCCACATAGATGTACGACTCCACGTCTGGGAGTAGGATACCATTGAGAGAAACGATATTAATATTTGCCTGATTTATTCCTATTATCTTTGTCTTTCCTTTATGGATTGTCAGATTTCCAGAGAGATTCCCTGTCAGTGCTGGCAGGAGCCTTTTCCTAGTCTATGAATCCAATGTCAAGTGTTCAGTTCAATGCTCTGCTCTGTTATAATCGGTAATGTGGCTATCTGGTCAGTACAGGATCTGTTTGGCTGAAACCCTGTCTGTTCATCTCGGAGCATTTTATCAATAGCCTCCCTTAGTCTTTCCAAAATAATCTTACTTAATAATTTTCAGAAACTGACAGCAGCATCATTCCTCAATTGTTCTCACACTCATGTAGATCACCATTTTTAGGCAGTTTCACAAGATATCATTCTCTCCAATCTGCTGGTTTTTCTTCATTATTCCCGCCTTTACTAAATAATCTATGTAGCGATTCTGTTGATTGATGTATTTATATTGGCCTTAATAACGTCTGCTGGGATACCATCTGGACCTGCTGTCTCTTCTTCCTTCAGAAGATTGATAGCTTTTCTAATTTTCCCTTTAGATGGTATCTCACAATCGATATCCAGTTCCAGGTCTAAAGGCTGGACATTTGGAGGAACCTTTGGGGCTGGTCTATTTAGAAGTATTTTCAAAATACTCACCCCATCTGTCTATTTGTCCAGTAAATACCAATGCACTTTTTTTTTGTCCTCGTACAACAAACCCATCTGTGTAGATCAGTATATCCGCATGTCTCATCTGAATTTTCACATGAAAGCGAGTGGACCTCAGCATTCACAGAAACTGGATTCTGCTCGCGACAGCTCCTGTCAAGCGTGACAACATAGGCAGAGGTGCGGTTGAGCACCTGGTTGATGACTGTAAGAATGCAGATCTGTATGATATCGTCCTCTGTCCTACCAAGCCACGATTTGCCCTTTTTTTTAGCCTGTTTCCCTTTTTCTTAAAGAGAACACTGTGCAGAGAGTGCTTCAAATCCGAGCTTATTTTGAGGTATACACTAGTCCTCCAGATCTTCATCCTGTGGTGCATGGTTGGAACGTCAAGAAGATATCTCATAGCTATGCAAGAGGTGTCTCCTGTGCACCCAGAATAATGCGCATAGCTTCATTTTGCACCTTTTTCAGTCCTTCCGTATCGCTGACGAGTATGGCCAAATCATATTTGATTGAAGAAAGAACCAGTCCCTGGAACAGTAGCAGAAGTTCCCCGTGTGGGTTCCGGGGCCCTACTATGGGAAAAGCATTAATACACCCACTGCCTACCCAAAAGCGTGTCGTAAGAGTAGACTAATTTGGAGCTTCCTTCGAAGTGGGAGTGCATCTACCTGAGAGGCCAGGAACCAACAGTCTGCTTACTGATCTGTCAAACGGATACACACCCAACACTCAGGTTCTGAAACAGGACTGCAGTCCAGAAGTGGACGAACAACCAGAACTTTTTGCTGGAGTTTACAGCCGGTGAACGAGAAGAAGAAAAAGTAGCAGAAGTTCTATGTTGGCGGTGGCCAGGACTCTCATTTCTGATAAGCTCTTAGAGGTTTTCGTTATAACATGGTCGACGTGGTCTTTGAAAGACAGACTGCGACCAAACTTCACACCCAGATATGTCATCAAGTGTGTTCTGCTTAAAGCTTCGCGGCTAATTTCCACCACTGGTAGTTATGCCTAAATTCTTAGTTTTGCATGAAATATTTTTGGATCTCCAAAATCGTTGCTGCTTGGCTAATCTTGTCTGAACAATCCTAGACATGATTTCTGGTCTTGGCCCAAGACACTTAAAATGGATCCTAAATATTTGAAATGAGTTACTTATTCTAATTTGTGGCCTTGAATGTAGATTGGAGAAATTCTGCTGGCTGCATTATTAGTCATTACTTTTTTTTTTCTGCGTTTATTTCCATGCCATACTTGGTCGATGTTTCATCAAGTTGCATGTTATTTCTAATCTGAATTTTTATCTCTGTTTACTTGTCTGCTAGTTGAGGATTGTGCATGTTTTTCTTGAGGTGCCCTCGCTGGTCATACATGTTACGAATTTCCTGAGTGACCCATGATTGTTTTTTTTTCCTATCAATTTCTTGAGTTGTTTCATTTATTTTGTTGGTGAATTAATATGTTAGTGTTTCTACGATGTTTGTATTGTTAATCAGGGGAGCAAACTTTCCTGCAATTGTAACACTGAATTTTTCCGCCATCATCGGATCCTTTCGTTTGTCGATGTTGTATTTCTGTCGTATGGTCTTGGCACGATTTAAACCTTTGAGATGGATTCTAAAATTTAGCAGCACAATATTGTGGTCACTTCCTATATCACCTCCTGGTTAGCTCCTTGTCTTCGCTAAGTTTATCCCAGATTTATAACGTTTTTGAGCTAGAAAGTAAAGGCGGCCAGCGTAATGCTGACCACATCACCCACCAAGGGCCGTTTGGTCTATAAAATATAGGTCTAGCCCTATTTGCCCCTTATCCTGAAGGTGTGGAAAAGGGTTCAAGTAAAACCCAGCTAACCAGGATGCGGGGAGGCTCTTCAAGTAGAAGAAGTATGACATGGTGTGTGTGGAGAAAGTCGAAAGGAGTCCGGATCGTTGACATACCTTCTCTCACCTAGGAACATCTCCAGAATGGGCACCTGGAATGTTAGAACCCTCCATGATATAGGTAACCCACGTGGGGCATAGGGATAAAGGAAGACTAAGGCAAACATGGAGAAGGGAACTGGAGAATGAAGTTAGAAAGATGGGAAGGACATGGGGAGAGCAGCATGCGATAGCAAAGGATAGAACCACTTGGTGTGAGTTGGTTGAGGGCCTATGCTACATTGAGGGCTAGATAGGCAGAAGAAGAAGGCAAAATATCACCACTTTTGCGCAGCCATTTTAATTTTAAGAAAGGTTCTGGGGAGGGGGGAGATGGTGTGGGGTTAGGATAAACTGATTACCTTACTTCGCAAACCCCCCCCCAACACATCTTTGAGCTCAACGAAATTTGGTGAGTGTCACGTCCAAATTCTTGAAGCCTTGTGCTTGTGTAGTGTGTTATCTTAGAGGAGGTTATTGAATTTGCAAAATTCCAGTAGTCTGAATCTTCTCTCATTGGTGATTTTGTTGCAGAAGGGTCCACATGTGTCTTTTCAGTCTGCCTGTTCATCTGTTCCTACCTTAGCGTTCCAATCTGCCTGGATTATCAGTTCATCTTTCTTTGGTGTTTTGTCAATAATGTTTTGGAGTTGATTACAGAAAATCTCAGTAGAATTGTCATAGTAGTCTGTAGTTGGAGCATAGACTTGTATGACTGTGATATTGAAAGGCGTTGAGTTTAAATGTATTGATATGAGTCTGCTAGAGACAGGACTGCATCCAATAATTGTGTTTCTAATATTCTTATGCACAAGAAAGCCAACGCCATTTACTCCTCTGTCCTCTCCGCTGAAGTAAAATCTATGTCCTTGATCAGTTGATCTTTCTCCAAACTCTTCCCACCTAGTCTCACATAGACCAATGAGACAAGTAAGAGTCACTTGGTACAATCGTAATACACTCGTTTTCTGTCCACAGCCTCAATGGAATAAGAGCAATACTGCTGGACTATTGCTCATAACCGAAATTCCGTTGGACTTCACGGAACAAGAAATAGCTCAAAGCTGCAAGAAGTATGGCTACCTATTGCGACTGGAGCTAAAAAAAGACACCAGAAGCGAGAAGCTATATGCGGTGGCCAACTTTGTGGACTGGGGCTCAGTGGACAAAGCTGTTTGTAAGTTATATTACTCATTTTACTTTGTAGTATTTATTTTAATTGTTTATCCTTTATAACATGCCGCAATGCCTTTTATTTAATTAACTGTATTGGACAAGATGGACACCTAAGGCAGTTTCCAGTTTTGTTGTGGGGGTGGATGAGTACAGATTGTAAATTAATAAACTTCATTGGGAAAAAAAAGCGTTCAACAGCCAAGAAAAGACAAATGTAACAAGGGCCAAGGGTTAAACAACTCATGGTTTCTGGATACTTGAAAAAAAAAAATATCCCCCACTTCCTCTTGGATCAAAGTCTGTTTAACTCTCTTTATCCTGCTCTCTGTATTCCTCTCTGTTTACATCCCTCCCTTTCTGTACCACCTTCTCTGTGTCTCCCTTTTCAGTGTCTCCATCATTTATACCTTATTCCCCCACCCCACCCCCTTTTTCTGTCTCATTCCTTCTTTTTGTCTTCTTCCCTCCATTCCCACTCTGTGCCTCTCACTGCCTACCCTGTCTAACTCCATTTCTATCTCTCCATCTGTCTAGTTCTTTTACTCTCTCTATCTACATCCTCCCTCTCTTTCTCTTTTTCTGTCCCTCCCTTTTCTCTTGTCTTTCTCTCTCTCTTTCTCTCTCTCAAGTGTCTAGAGCAGAAATCAGCTTTATGACTCCCATTTCAATCTGTCATCTGATATTTGGAGGCAGTTACTTTTCCTGACTGTTGAAGCTTTATACAGACATATTTCTCTTCGTCTCAAAAATGAAAGCTGACAGCAAAACCTGTTGACATGGCAGTCAGGTTGTAGGACAACATGTCAGTCAGGATGTAGGACAACATGGCAGTCAGGTTATAGGACAACATGGCAGTCAGGTTGAAGGGCAACATGTCAGTCAGGTTGTAGGACAACATGGCAGTCAGGTTATAGGACAACATGGCAGTCAGGTTATAGGACAACATGTCAATCAGGTTGTAGGACAACATGGCAGTCAGGTTATAGGACAACATGGCAGTCAGGTTGAAGGGCAACATGTCAGTCAGGTTGTAGGACAACATGGCAGTCAGGTTGTAGGGCAACATGGCAGTCAGGTTGAAGGGCAACATGGCAGTCAGGTTATAGGACAACATGGCAGTCAGGTTATAGGACAACATGGCAGTCAGGTTGAAGGGCAACATGTCAGTCAGGTTGTAGGACAACATGTCAGTCAGGTTGTAGGACAACATGGCAGTCAGGTTGAAGGGCAACATGGCAGTCAGGTTGAAGGGCAACATGTCAGTCAGGTTGAAGGGCAACATGTCAGTCAGGTTGTAGGGCAACATGGCATTGGAACCAGGAGTGACAGAGGAGATAGGCTGTTTAAGTTTTGTGAGGAGAACCAGTAAATTAGACCTTGGTGCAAATAACAGCTCTAATCATAAATCTATGGTTATCGAAATGCACATAACAATGATTACAGATCAAAATAAAGAAAGCTCAGATCACTTCTGGGTACATAATATAAGACAATAATAGACACCTGACATGCGTAGAAGTGCTTAATAGCCATGGATTCAGGAGACTTGTGAGGAGTTATCAAGGAAAAATATAAAACCCAACGAAAAGTATATTAGCAAGCTTCACAATATAACAAATACAAACAAAACGTGAACGTTGCAGCTACTGAGCCTTCATCAGCATATAAAAATCAAACAATACTACACAAAAACACAAAATACTTTAGCTGGTATCTCAAAGCAGCCGGGTCGGTTGTTACTCAGCAGAATGACTACACGTATCAGCTGGGGGAATAAATACCTGCTGTAGAGTACCAGGGGCCATAACTGGGGGGTTGGAGATAAAACTGTAAGGGCAGTTCAAACCCCTGGAAGTTTAAAGGAAACTGTGTTGGCAAATCAGTCCGGAGGGTGTTTCTCAAGAGACTTGCGGACTCTGTCGCTGGAATGGCTAGATTTAATGGCTGTCACCTCCATGTCGAGGACACCTTGGTGATCCTGGGATTTGAAGTGCAATGGTACTGGTTTCAAGGCACCATTTTGCACGTCCAAAAGATGTCTGAACGTGTCAGCCAGTCGTAGACATGTTTCACCATTGTATTTCATGCCACATCTCTTGCAGTTGGTGGCATAAATGATATTGTATATGAACTGTGTTGATTCCGTAAAAGTGATGCGTTATTTACAGCTACTTTTATGTTCCAGCTCAAGGTAAAATCAGTGTCAAGGGAAAAGACTTGCCTGTAAAATCAATGCAAGAAGATCTGCTAGGCAGTAAGTGTGCTTTTGTGAATGTCTAGTTGTATCAGGTGTTCCCAGGCATCTCATTTCACAGGTTTTAATGTTATGTCAGTTAGCCTTTGAAAATGTTCAAGTCTGGCATTGGTAGTACAGTGTTGGTATGAATATGTTGTTTATTATCTGTTTCTTGGTGCTCACAGAAATGTAGCAGACTAGGAATTCTACTAATCTTCATTACTTCAGTTTCAGTAGTATTTATTTTCTTGTTGAACTTAGCCTGTTTTAGTGATCTTGCTATCTAGCCCTAATTGTAGAACAGGCACTGATCATTTGCATTTACTGCTCGTTTATTATATGTGTACAGTAAATAAGACAGGAGATAACACACACCCTTGCCTCGTCCCTGTATTTATTGTAAACAAATCATAAAATCTCTCTACTTCTTGTGTTCTCACTGCATTTTGGGAAGTGTGGTACGTGTCCATGATGTTATCAAGCAGCTGTATCTCATAATCGTCAAGAATAGCCCATAGTTTGTCTCCAGAATGATTCCTGTGCCACGTGGCATAAAAGTTGACCCTCACAATTTTCGAAACAAGTTTAATTGCCAAAACTGCCGATAGCTGAGCATTATCTAACACATTCACTGTCACTGTTTACTGTCTTAATTGGATTATATATGCGGGCAAGCGTTAAGTAAAGGCAACTGCATTGAGTTTTTTTTTTCTTTTTTTTTTTTCAAACAGGCAGAACAGAATTGTTCTGTGTCAAATTTCTCAACAGTCTCTCTGCCTTGTAACACATGTAGTCCACTGATCCACAAGATTGTGGATGGATGCCAGGTAGAAGCTTTTGGGTGCTCCCAGTTTGCACCACCGACATCACCTCAGTGGCATCTACAAATGTTGGACCTAACAGATGAAAGTCCAAAAAATTACTAACTTTCTAAAAGCAACACAAAGGTAAAAAAAACGGGGAGAGCTTCATGCAATTGTGAAGGATAAAACGACTTAGTGTATGTTGGTTGAGAGCCTATGCTCAGTTAGGGGATAAAAGGCAAAAGAAGAAATGAGATAATAAATAGCTGTCCGGTTTCTTTACTGCATTAAAGTTGATTATGTTTACAGTCACAGGGCTCTTTAATGACCGGTTTCCAACTTGAATTTTACAGCCGGGTCATCAAATCCCGAACGCAGACGTGATACTCGCTCTGAAGCTGAGGCAAGACGTTTCTGGATAGACCAGCGAAGAGAGAGTGAGTATTGACTGCCGATAGCTGAGCATTATCTAACACATTCACTGTCACTGTTTACTGTCTTAATTGGATTATATATGCGGGCAAGCGTTAAGTAAAGGCAACTGCATTGAGTTTTTTTTTTTTTTTTTCAAACAGGCAGAACAGAATTGTTCTGTGTCAAATTTCTCAACAGTCTCTCTGCCTTGTAACACATGTAGTCCACTGATCCACAAGATTGTGGATGGATGCCAGGTAGAAGCTTTTGGGTGCTCCCAGTTTGCACCACCGACATCACCTCAGTGGCATCCACAAATGTTGGACCTAACAGATGAAAGTCCAAAAAATTACTAACTTTCTAAAAGCAACACAAAGGTAAAAAAAACGGGGAGAGCTTCATGCAATTGTGAAGGATAAAATGACTTAGTGTATGTTGGTTGAGAGCCTATGCTCAGTTAGGGGATAAAAGGCAAAAGAAGAAATGAGATAATAAATAGCTGTCTGGTTTCTTTACTGCATTAAAGTTGATTATGTTTACAGTCACCCTTGCTCTTTAATGACCGGTTTCCAACTTGAATTTTACAGCCGGGTCATCATATCCAAAACACAGACGTGATACTCGCTCTGAAGCTGAGGCAAGACGTTTCTGGATAGACAAGCGAAGAGAGAGTGAGTATTGACTGACACTTTTAATGGCTTGAAAAACTGGCCAGATTTTCTGTCTCATGTTTGATACTAAACTAAAACTTGTAAGCCTCATACCTGATACAGAAAATCTGGCCAGGATGCTGGGTAGATTGTTTTGTTAACGTGATTTCTTTAAACATTATATGCAGAGCTGTCTCAACAATATGACAACCATTAGGGCAAGCAACTTAAGAAGATTCAAAAAGTGGCATCAGCTCATGGGGCCCACTGAGCAAGTGACCAGCGGGCCCATGCATTCTGACGGCCCTGATTATATGTATGTCCAAATCTTCATAAATATTTGTGTGTTTACTTACTTACTTTACTTAGTCGCTCCTCCTCTACCCTTAGGTGCATTGGTTTGCCAGACTTCTCTATCAGCAGTTGTGATATTTGTTTGTCAGAAATTGTTTTTTGTTTTTTTAACTAGACATTTTGTGTTGCATTAAAGTGAATAAGGTATAGTCACAATGCTTCTTTACTTACCATTTGCCAATTTAATGTTGCAGAGAGACGACGACAAAGGTCCTACAGTGGTGACTATTCAAGTCAAAGTGATGATCGAGCACCAAGAAGATATGAAGGTGAGTACTTGTTTACCATGTTTATCTCTTAAAAAGCTATTCCCAGTCATCTTAAACCTATGGGCACCTGGGCAAAGCTGTGTGTTGGGGCCTCCATGACAATCACTTCGGCAAGTACATTGAGATGCATAAATTGGCATCAACCCCCTGTACCCCGTATCTCATCAGTGAAGCTGCCGCTAAGACACTTACTCTGTGTGGCTAAAAATTCTGCAGCTATATGGTCTTCTAAAAGTTTACAAACCTGGAATGCCACTGAGGCTTATCCTGTCGATGATAAATCTGGACCCTCAGTAACCAAGGACAGCACATTTCAAATCCTGCACATCTCAGCCAATGGAATTTTGCTAAGATTTCTTGAAGCTGCTGTGATTTTATACCTTTGCCCTGAACTCTGCAAACAGAAAGATATGGTTCTGACATTGAGGCTGCCCTAGTAAAACAGGCAATTGTGTTTGATCCTTGTTGTATTCTTACTTTAGTTATAAAGGATTCACTTATCTGCTTCATTTATTTAATTGTTGCTGTAGTATGCACCTGACGAGATACAGCAAAATATGCTAAACAATAAATTGTGCAATCTTGTGTTTGTGTCTTTTTTGTTCAAAGTAAGATACTTGTAGGTTTACTAACTTTACTTAGTCGCCCCTCTTCTACCCTTGGGTTGTAGAGGTTTGCCAGATTTTTCTATCAGCAGTTCTAAAATTTGATGGTGCAAAAAAAAAGTTTAATTCCATCTAACGTTTCTTGGAGATAATGTTATGTTTATATGACCAGCTTAAAACTGCAGTCAGTTAGACTTTTTACGCCGATTTAAAACCACTGTAATACATAACGTCGGTACAATTCTAAACAATAATAGACATCTGTTCCTCCAGGTGTGCCATAAAGATGGCAGCTAGAATAGGGCCCAGAGGGCTTCCCATTACGCCTTTTTAAAATGTGCAAAGCTTGAAAGGGTTCAAAATGAAGGAATGAGAATCGTCTTGGGTTGCATGCGAGATACCCCAATTAGAACAATAAGGTATTTGCTAGGGCTGACATTTGTAAAGTCTTGACTGTCACTGGTGCAAGCCAGTGCTGACATGCGAGTTATCAATGATAAAAGGCATCCGCTGCATGGTAATCTAAACAATATAAGAAAAGACTGGTTAAAAAGACTAAAGTCATGGATGGCACTAGCTGAAGATACCATTGAGTCGGCGGCCTCGGTCCAGCAAATACACAGGGGGCAGGAATAGGTCAACACAAACACCCACAACAGCAGTTTCTTTGATGTCATTGTCACATTAGGAACAGAATGCAGAGAGTGGCATAACGGTATGGCAGAATTAGAGGTTCCACTGATAGATGGAAAAGCTGGACTAGATGATGCAGTAGTGTACACCTTATGAATGGAAAGATTGTGGCAGAACGAATTGGAGCTTTTTTATCTACAACTTCAAGCATGAGAATGTAAGTGGAGGCAGTCACTGCAGCTCTGAAGTAGATAGCAGAAAAAAGTTACTAGAGAAATTGTTGTGTCTGATTCTCAGTCGGCATTGCTGAAAGATCAAAATTGACTAAAGGGGCATGAGTGGGTACCCTGCATCAAATACGCCAACATTGCAGGAAATCACGTGGATATACTGTCCAGAATATGCAGGAGTGCGAAGAAATGAAAGAGCTGGCGACAAAAGCGAAAGCTGCTGGAACACTTCTACTGGACAGGGGAGATATTCTGAAGACCATATATGGACGACTGTTGGCAGAAGACACGAGATTAGATGAAATAACATAGGCAAGATTGTGTGAACTAGGCATTTAGTGTGGTTCCGGCAAGTAGGGACGGATGAGAGGAAGAAAACGACTTGTGTATAACCAGTGTGCTACAGAAACAGTTAGCATCTACACCTTAAGGCATTAGCTGCAGGAAATGAAATGGTATGTGTCATGATGTTGATTCTTAAATTAGTAATACAATTTGCGTGCATTAAAGTTATGTATGTATACACAGTCACACTCATGTTTATTGACCTGTTGTCTATTTAATGTTGCAGGTAACCCCTATTCTTACAGCCGTTACCGACAGAGACCCACCCAGTGAGAAGGTAAGTGTTG